ATACATGCATTACATATATAGACGAGTAGTGGCTCCCCTTTATTGGATAAGACTGTTAATAAATATAAGGTTCTTTTGTATGTACAAATCTAGATTACGCAAGCGACTAGAGTTCAATCCAGTTGAACAATTTTTAGTCGCAATTTCAAAGTAATTACTAACTAACTTAACTAATTTACCGCGTGCTCAGCGATGAATGAAAACTTCGCGAGGAAACAAATTATGCATATGTATAGAATATATATTTTGAGAACTCTTGCCTGCGACACTGTAAAAACAACAATTGTTAAGACGGATGCGGCCACGAACAATAATCTGCGAATAAGTCCCGCGCCCGTCGTTCATGATCAGAGTCTAAACACGATGCGAAATACGAATGGGTATGGACATTACGGGTCACGGGTCAAGATCCAAAGCATGCTAACATTGTGCGAATGACCGCGGACAAGAACAATTTGTAAAGTTAAAATGAGTATTGAGTTTAACACTAGCTGTTCCCCGCGACTTCGCCCGCGTGTAATTTAGGTTTTTAATTATTTTGCGCGGAACCCTAATTCTTTTTCTAAAACAAAAGTAGCCTAAGTTATTCCTTATAACATCTGCTGTCTGCCAGTGAAAGTTCCATCGAAATCGGTCCAGCCGTTTCGGAGATTAACCGGAACAAACAGACAGACAGATAGACAAAAATTTTAAAAATTGTGTTTTTGTTATACTCGTAAGTAGCATATATACTTTCATATGCATTCAGTGAAAAGCTGTTATTTTGTCGTTACAAACAGCCACTCCAATTTTATTTATTTGTATAGATTTGAACAACGTATGTCGGCCTGCCGACTATACATTGTTTGTTTTCAATCTGTCTAAGACTTTGGACATTTGATCAATTTCGGAGAAACAATCTCGATAAAAAGATAACAAGAGTACGTAGCTGCTATTAAATGTCGCACAGCTAATCGGAAGCAACTGGACCGAGAAGAAACCAAACCACGCTGACCGTCGAGCATGTGGTCGTTCAGCAGTTTAAAACGCACATAATTATTAGGTAGCCATCAGTGGTGAAACTTTACGAACAGATAGAGCACAATGCCAAGAGAGGTCTAGGTTATATTTTAAACGAACAACTTTTTTTTGTAATAACGAAAAATTTATTATATAAATAGTCTTTCATTATAAATAAATAGACCCTATCCAGACGAAACCGGGCCGAGTCGTTGGTACTTAATAAATTGTGACGAGAGAATATAGATAGATTTATAGAAATAACAATAATAATCCTTAGACCGAATTTCGGTTACGGCGGCCGGTCTCAACCGAGACTAGCCAGTCATCGGCGCAGGACAGGAATATAGTGCTTCAATGTCTGCGCAAGCACAGGTGCACTATGTATTCTCTCACTCTCATAGTCCGATGGGACGGTAAACCGACACGACCGGAGAGAGATCAGGCGCAGGACCAACGGCTGCAAGGATTTCCGGGGACATAATTATTTAGTAGCCATTAGTGGAACTACCGTTAGTCATCATGTTCCAGGGCAATGATGAAAAGCGTCGTCACTTACAAGGACTTACATAAACTATATTTCAAGCCTGGCTACGAACTACGGCGTTTCTTTCTATTTTGGGTAACAACTATTTTCACGCGTGGACAATGCTATTGGTTTATATGCGACGTTTACGGTAATCAGTAGAAAACAAAAGTTACTGGAGATGGAAATCACTACAGTGTTGTCGTAATTTATTTGTAACTTCAGTTTCTCTCTGTCGCTGTTTTACGACATTCCGGGATGATTTGGGATAGGGTTGAGTATAAGAGAGTACGAGGGCGACACTGAAAGTATTTAGGACTGGCCACTTGTAAACGACATAATAAAAAAATAAGTTCAAATTTTGAAAATGGTACTCTTTGCCAATATTATTGTGTATATATTTTATTAATTTGTCATTTGTTTACGATTTGGCGGCAAATTGAAAATTTTCTGTGTCACGTCAGCAAGAATTTAACGCGAGAAAATTTTCGTACAATGATTTTTTATGACTTTCGATGTCATTTAAGTCAACAAGAAAGTTATGACAGACTTCGATTGACCTTTCACGATGAAGCTCCATCTCTTGCCACTGTTTAAAACTGGTTTAATGAGTTTAAACATGGTCGCACTAATCTCGCTGATGATCTGAGTGAGGGACGGCTTTCTACGGCGACGACTGAAGATAACATCAGTGTTGTGCGGCGTATGATAGAGACTGACAAAAGAGTGACTTATCAGCAGATTCGGACAAGCTTAGACATCGGTATGAGTCAAGTGCACAAAATCCTCCATGAACATTTAGCGGTCAGGAAGTTTTGTGTCCGGTGGATACCTCATAATTTGACAGAAGCTCAAAAACTCCGTCGTGTTGATTGGTGTCGTGAAATAGTTATAAGATTTGACACAGAGGTGACACAAATGCTGTGTTCGACATACTTACGGGTGACGAAAGCTGGATTTATTGTTATGATCCTGAAACTAAGAGACAGTCTGCTGTCTGGGTGTTTCCTTCAGAGGAGTTGCCAACTAAAGTAAAGAGAGGTCGAAGCGTGGTAAAAAAGATGGTGGCCTCGTTCTTCGGAAGGACAGGTCATTACACAACAACTGTTTTAGAGGACCGAAAAACAGTTACTGCAGAGTGGTACACTAACAATTGTTTGCCACTTGTCTTGGAAAAAGTTCGGGAGAAACGACCTCGCAGTAGGATCCTCCTTCACCACGACAACTCCTCGTCCCACAACGTCAAGCAAACAATCGACTACTTGGCAACGTCAGACGTGGAATTACTGGGTCACCCGCCCTATGGTCCCGACCTCGCACCTTGCGATTTTAGTTATTTCCGAAAATAAAAGAAAAACTTCGAGGAAAACGTTTTATAGATGCCGAGGAAGCAGTAGCTGCGTTTCAAAATGCCGTCGAAGAGACCCCTAAGGACGAGTGGGCAAAGTGCTTTTCTCAGTGGCTCCATCGGATGCAGCTATGGATTTATGTAAATGGACACTATTTTGAAGAGATATAATAAAACTAATAACTTGCTAGTTTCTTCAGTTTTTGATTTTCTAAGAACTTTCAGTGTCACCCTTGTACATAATTGATAATAGGCCCTGGGAATGAAGTGGTCGCTAGCACGCTGTTTCTAAATGTAGTCATATTTAATTGTACTACATACTTGTATTACATTGTAAATTAATGTTTAAAAAAAATGTTGCTGGGTTTCTTGCCGGTTCTTCCCAGGATAGAAAAATCTATGCGAACCAGTGGCAAAAGCATAAATGACTTTTCATAAGTATTTTCGTAATGTTCATTCTATTCTATTGAATTGAATTATAAATTAATCCTCTAAGGATTTTGTTACGTGGCGCCGCCACTAAACGTCACGGGTGTCGTAAAGGTGACAAAGCGAAAATGAAACAAGAGATGGACAGCAGCATCTTTCTGATAACAATTAATTTTCTTTAAATAATCAAATGTAGCAACTATGGCAAATGCTCCCCCCCCTCCCCCCTTTATGAGGTCAATATATAGGGGAGGCTTATGTTCTGCATTGCAATTTTGATAGGCTGTTAGGATGATGTTGATAATATTTTATCATGAGCTTAAGTTAACATGTTGTAAAAATGTTAGTTCTTTGGGGGAGGCCTATGTTCAGCAGTGGACTTGTGAAGGGCTGTAATGATGAATGATAATGAAAAATGTTAGAAGCAAAATGTGGGAATACTTTTAATATAACAGATTGATATAACATAACAATGCAACAGATATCTTACTGTAACACAATATATTTATTTCCATTTACAGGTGTCTTGAATAATTTGCCTTTCTAAATAAAACCTATAAACAGTCTTGAAAAATGTGATTTTGTGGTGTGAGAGAAGAGTTTAAGTTTAAGGTGTTACACAGAAGAGGAAACTCAGAAAAAAAGTGTTTATTTGTGTTAATGTAATTCAATCATTATTCAAATACATGTTTAACTTCTCCATATCTAATTGCAAATGCATTTACTTAAATACTTATAATATACTTCTAGGATAGATAAGGCTAGACATATTTACAATTACAAAATGTGATGTCAACAACAACCAATAGGTTTTACATATAAACATCAAGTACAACTATTATACATCTACAAGTGACACATATTAACTTCACATCAAAGAGGCTCAGAGAGACTCAGAATGGCATTTTCATATAGGCACTTACATCAGGATAAACAAAGTGTCAGTAGCTCATGACTAAAGACTTATAACACATCAATCATTTTAGTGAAGAATAAGGCTTTGTTATAAATAAATTCACATTTCTATAATATTGTTTACTATTATATACTATACTTTGGTATATACATATTAATTGTTAATACCACATACAATTATGTTGTGAAAAAAAGTATAATTTTTCCTTTTAAGAACAATTAAGTTTCTTCCCTGATAAAATACTTTGCATGAAAAATTATTTTAGTTTTTACCACATTGTATGGAGAGCTCATGGATAAAAATTTGGTGTATCAATGGTCTCAAAATCCAACAGGCTATATAGCTTATGTGTTCTCAAACAAGCATATTCAAAGCCAAATTACCTATTTACTGACACAATGTGAACACTTTTGTACTGGTGACAGAGATAATTTATTATTGAGGACCATTGTAAATGTCAGAAAAATTTTCATCTCATATTTTGCAAGAGCTAAACTCTGGAACCTCTAGTGTACCCACATGAGTGATTCATAGTCTAATACTTTAGTCTTTCGATAACATAAACCACACCACAACATCATAAAGTATTATAATTATTATTGCGGTAACTAGTCTTTTTCCGCAAGTAAAAAATAAGTAATATTTGTTTTGTCGCGTTGTAGTATAAAAGTAATTCATGGTTTAGCGATCAATCAAGTGTTTATGTATTTATTCATTGATTCCAATCGACGCACCAAGTCTGCGCATCTTTAGCGATGTCAACAAAGCAAGAAATATCTCACCTCCTCGTAACCCTCGTTCTTCTCCTTTTGTGAAAGCGGGCGGCATCGCACCACCACCTTCACGCACTCATTGAGAGCAGTCCGCGGTCTTGCGGACTTCTCCATCTTCAACCACCCCCTTTCGTAACGTAAAAAATAACAAACTCAAAGTCACCGATATCGATCCATTCGGGGTGTACCTATTGTAGACATCACCTAATATTTAGTTCTATACAGCAAAATTAATGAAATCTAAATCTGAATAAATATATGTAAATGATTCTTTAAAACACGATTATTTTGGAAGCGGTTAAATAAAATCGTAAAATTTTTAAACCACAACAATTCACATTCGAACGCGACCGCCTCAAGCGGATATTTTTAAGCAACTGACATTTGATTGTTGTTATAGTTTACGGTTCGTAAATTAAGGCAGGCAAAAGCCTTAGACCATCCAGCCTCCAATTTGTATTTTGTTCATACAACTCTTCACATTATACTGATGCTTACTAATACGAAATTTTTGCAAGATTTTCACCCAGCAGACAGTAATGAATTACGATAATATCTGCTAAGAAGGAATCTAATAATTATATCTTCATCGACTCACTTGTTAAGTTATTTTCACTAATAGTTCACAAGCTCAAAACAAATTTTAAGTATCAAAATCCACTTTAAACCTTTATTAAACGAAGAAACAGGAGCAGCGATTCACCAAAGTACATTGATATTGGGATTTCAGTATATATAATCAGTTGATACCACAGATAAATTAGAAAATGGGAGAAGCCAAATAATAAAATAAAATACCAAGGATTTATAATACTTTTTAGGGTTCCGTACCCAAAGGGTAACCAACGGGACCCTATTACTAAACCACCGCTCTCCGTCCGTTTGACAGCAGGCTGTATCTCATGATCCATAATAGGTAGACAGTTCAAATTTTCACAGAAAGTGTATTTATGTTGCTTTAATAACAACAAAAATAATAAAAAATATATTTTAAATTAACGGAGGCGCTCCTATTAGAAACGTGTTTTCTTTTGTATACATGTTACGAGCTTGGAATTCGAGACAGTTAAAAACTGCCAAGTGAATTACCAAAATTGACACTTTATTTACAGTACGCTAATTACAACTTAAAACCACACTAATAACAAAACACAATTGTACTACAGATCACTTAATTTCGCAGTTGTATCGCTTCGAAGTATTCGCTTGTATCCCCAATTCAATACCGATTCGGTCGCGGTCTATACCGGCCTTATGTAGTTTCCAGAACCTTGTACTATAGAAACTTCTAGAATGTTCGAATACATATCGGTTCCGATTGACTAGGTGTCGATAGTTCTAGAAAGTTATTCCATAGAAATTTCTAGAATGTTCTTGATTCTCCTTGTTCTGCTTCTTGATACTAGAGAGCGTTAGTGGTAACTAGTGTCGCCGTATACCATATATTAATCGTGGTGCGCAACAATAGCAATAAATCTTGTGAGATGTTACGGAACACTTCATGCGCGAGTAGCACTCGCACTTGGCCGGTTTTTTTAGTTACAGTTTTATGATTGCAACGTATTTACATACAAATATACGTAGTGATACATTCTGTTTGCGTACAGATATGACAGACAATAAATTTGTCAGGAATTAGCAATCTAAACTAATATAGAATGAGTATGCAGTAAACGTGGTGGTGAGCTAAGCTTTACCTAAATTATGGTTATTGACGAATGGGTAAGCTCGACCGGGGAAGGACCAACGTAAAATTTTAAAACTTTATTCTGTTTTGTTTCGTATGGTGAGTATAATAGAGAGCCGCTGACTCTCTATTATACTTTTAATTGGGAACGGGTCATTCAATCTTAGTCCTCAGGGGTGACAAATGACAATGCATCACCATTTTGATTATCATTAGGTGGACTGTGCGCTTGTTTGTCACCCTTAATCTGTATGAAAACGCAAACTTGTAATATTAATTTCTAAAATGATGGATTACTTCACTAAAAATTAAATTTTACTTTTATATTCCTGTTAACGATGTTAAAAATATTTAACAATAAAGCAGTCTCGGTAAATATTGTAAGATACAAGCGCTGTGATGTTTCTTCTTTTGCTTTTCTCTGCTTTGGCGCCTTGACATACTATTATCATCAACTATCTACTGGCCGAGTCTGCTTCACATAACAATATGACGCATTAACATTTTGGAAATGACATACAAAATTAACAGTTTTAAAAAAATGTTTTTTTTTTTATTAACGAACTATCATAAAGGTTAATTTCTTATTTTTTACACTGACAAAAGTACAACCATGCAAGTTTATTATCAAAGAAAACGATAAGTATTTATTTGGTTGCTCATTTTGGTGGTAGCAATAACGTATGGCTTGATGACCACCGGTGGATAGTTCTGTATACTGTAATCCGTGGGATTGTTGCTCTTGTGCTTTGATTTTTACTATACTATTTTATCGTATCAGTAATTGATTAAAGTGGATAATTGATATTGATCACAGAATACTTTTGCACAGTGACCATGGTGCGGTGAAGTAATTTTGTGTTAATATTAAATGTTCACACAAGTGGACTAATTATGGAAACAATGAAACACGTGCTTTGATGGTGGTATAGTCTGTCAAGAAAGTCATGAAAAAAGTATTTTTAGAACTACTGCTTTTGTTTGCACTGGCAACAATAAATTATTGTCAAACTGAGTAACTTAGCTGTCATATCGTAGCTTTGTAGGTACTTGCTTCGGCAGTACATATACTAAAATTGTAGCTTTGTAGTTGATCTTGCTCTAAGATTTTTTGTTTTTTTATTTATTTTTTATATTTCATGTTTTTCTTATCATATGACCGTTTAGTCTTTAGAGATCAAAAATGAAACGCAGTGTTTATAAGAGCGGTACAAGAAAAGTCATATTTAAAGTGTTTCAAGAGTGTATGGCCGAATTTCAGGCGGGAAAGTTTCTTTCCGATTTAAGTGATGTTTACGGTCGAACAGCAAAGATAACTGGTACGTACATGTATTTTAATGTTAAATAAAATAAAAAAAACTGTTATCTCAAATCTATGATTTGTTTTAAGTATAATTAATCCGTTTTATTACATTGTTTACAAATAGTTGAGGTTATGAAATTTGTTTAAGAATTATACTACACATTCAATAGTTTTTTTTAACATCCTTTTGTATTATTTGTTTAGATATAAATAAGGTACTTGTTATTTACATGCCTATCTTGGTTTCAGGTGTTTCTGAAAGCATAATTCGGCACATAGTGGACGACGATGTATATTTTGCCCGTGGAGGATCTCTATATAATGATATAGACAAACTTGTCATCTCAGTAAGCGATGATAGTCCCAGTCAATCTGAAAAGTCAGAAATGGACCAATTTAATTACGCAAGAGCTTCAGGCAACATTTCGGGAATTGAATACCTCGACTCAGGTTATTTGGACTCAGATTAATAATCAAAATATAATAACTATGTATCAACATTTTGTTTCTTTTATTTTAGCACCTTGGGTGTCTGTTGTCTGGCATCAATTAATTCAGAATTAAGTATTCCTTGGTTTTCTCGCAACGAGAGATATCATAGCAGAAAATTTTATTCAATAATATGCAGACTTAGATTTGGCCACTATCGACTGAACACTCATCTTTCCAGGATGAGAATAGTAGCATCTGCAACATGAAATTTCTGCGATACAGAAGCAGATCAGACTGCAGAACATATAATATTTAACTGCCCAGCGTACGTCATTGAAAGATTGCTACTCATTGAAAAACTTATACAAGTTTATGAAAACTCAGAAAGCGTCCCGCGTGCCCTGCAAGATGTTCTTAGGAATACTAAGACATATTTAGCACTTTGCAATTTTATTCATAATACTGTAAAAAAAATATGAAGTATGGTATCCCTGTTTTTGAAAATATTGGATTGACAAATCTACATGGATTGAAACTTACAAAGAGTATAATATAAAGAAGACTTGGCTTTAGCCTTTACGGGTTTTTGAAAATATGAAGAAATAAAGAAAATAAGGCTTGACTTCGGCCTTTATGGATTTTGAAGAGATGGAAAGAAGAAAAATAAGACTTGTTCCCGGCTTTTACACTCTAAAATTCTATATATTCAAAATAAAAAAGACCAGGCTGTATGGCTTAGTTCCTTTGCCTGCTCTCTCGAGTGAATAATAAAAACAACAACAACTACAAGAAATAATGTCAAACAATGACAAAAATATGTACTTATAAAACCGTAAGAATGAAGATTATAGTTAAAAGTGTTCTGTAAAAAATACTGATAAAAATATAACAAGTTAGCATCATAAATTAATAAGAAGTTCAGAGAATATTGGATATGTAATCACTACGTATACGCTTTAAAGCATAAATTAAGTAGTGGTAGTGGATTCTGAAATACTTGCTGCAAATCAAAACATAATCATAAAACATTTAGGATTCGAAAAGCATGTCAACAAATCTAAATATTGTGCTTAAAAGGGCTAGTAAAATCTATCATGAAGGAGTGAGTACCTATCAAGCTTCCACCAAATAAATAATTTCAAAAGACTTACATACTAAACTAAATAAAATAAAATAAAATAAAATACAATCTTCGGATACTATTATGAATTTCGCTTTAAGAGTATTATGAATAACGCTTAATTCTATAAATTTCAATGTGTTAATAAATACAAAACTTTTCTTGCTATAAAATGTATTTGCGGCGCGATGGCCACGAATAGCATTGCCGGGAGTCCAGATAAAGCTGGACACAGTTAGAATTTTTGGTTGCATGTGCGGCTAAATTAGGTGGTGTTCGGCTTTTGTTAGGCTTATTAAATTGGACTTTTTTTTACATTTGTCATCTGTTGGTTTATTCTCTGCCCACCTCATTTATGTAACGCTAGCACAAGCGAACAAACTAGCACTATCCCTTCTGATTAGTAATTCAGATTGTTTTTCAGAATTCCTTACTATTTGTCAATATTATCTTGCCATTTGGGGTCATAATGCAATGAGTTTTTTCTTTAACAGGTTCAACAATGGTAAAAATAATGCACCAAATTACATGTCAACACTATTACCAAAATGTTGGTTGTACAATTTAATTTTAAAAATTTCACTTGTAAAAAGTATATAATTCAATTTTAAAGGAAAATGACCTTTTAAAACAGGTGTCTGCCAACCATAAATATTAATAACATTTTGTTACAATTAATTTAAAGTTTATTTAGTTTGTTAGTGTTTTGCTTAATTTTGTTTTTTGTTGCCATAGTTGTAAGTAAGTAATAAATAATAACTATAAAAGAAGGCTGATTCATTAAATTTGTTATTACATTAAAATTGAGAAAGATTTTATGGCAAGAAATAAATGTTTTGTTTTAATTTGTTGTTTGGTGGTAAATGATAAAAAGCCTTGTCATGTTGCTTTAGAAATTGTCATGTTATACTAAGAATAAAAAATTAAGTGTGTCGGGTCTTTTTACCCAAATGTCCGGATAAATTGGCTGGTCTGTCTTTTTGGTTTTAAGACCTGGCAACCCTAGCCATTCACAATTTCATTTTGTGTGTTATAAAAGCCAGCTACGGGAAATGGCAAAAAGACCTTATAGATATACAGATGATGGTATAACCACCTTGTCTATGCCAGTCGTAAGAAAAGGTATCCAGGTCGGTGAAAAAAACAGGGTCAAATATGGCTCCAAGCTTGCATCTGCCTGCCAAGAATGATGAATTATGTGAAATTGTTCCTATTACAGAAGGAACTTATATTATAGCAGTGAAATTTTATAAGCTATTGTAGATTTTTATACGTGTTAGAGCCATGCTGCAGCTATATTAGTGGTATAGTTGTAGCACAAATGGGTTGACTCGACAGGGGAAGGACCATACTCTCACAGAAAACCAGCATAAAATAGCAGCTTAACGCTGCTGTGTTTCGTATGTTGAGTGTAGAGAACCGGAGACCCTTTTTACTCGCAAAGAGGCATTCCATCTTAGTCCTCATGGGTGACAATGCATCTGCATCTTGAGTCTTTATTGAGGGTAGATGTAGGTGTCTATGAGTCGCAGTGGCCACTTACCATCAGGTGGACTGTGTGCTCCTTTGTCACCCTATCCTATAAAAAAAAATATGAATAAAATTAACTGAAATAACTTATTAAATAGAACTTGAACAAAATTTAAGTTGTAGGACAACAGTGTTTCCTGATTAGTGGTACACTTAGCCCCTATTAATAATACCTATGTATTGGAAGTTGTCTGAACCTCTTCAGCTATGCTCTTGACTAAAGTAAGGGCAAAGGCAATCTCTTATCTAAGTAAAAAGCTACAAAAAAGTTACTCTAGCTACTATAACATGCACATTTGTCCCATTGACTTAAATAACCAATGAGATGTTCATTATTGTGAACATTGTTGAAAAGTTAATAGTACATACATTTTATTTTATAATTAAGGTCTTTCTTTAGTTACATCATTAGAATAGAGTGTGTATTCAGAGTGAAACTTATCATACCACCTAGCAGAAATGGCAGGACAAGGTCTATTTGACCAGCTAGTATTATATATAAAAATTTATCATGTCAGTTATGAAATGAACATGAGCAGTGCAGTGATACACAGAAAAAATTAATAGGGAACTGCCGCTCTAAGCAAATTAATTCTGCCGATTCATACTGATATTCTTAAACAAGCCACACAGCATGAAGAGTTTACTGAAAAGATAATTCTTTTAAACCCTGTGTCACTTCCACAATTAAGATGAATAACACAGCATATGTTGAAATCCATTGTGCCGTTTAGGCTACAGAGCATGCCAAAGAAATAGACATACATACATACATATTCTCAATAAGCATTACTCTCCTTTTCAGGCAGTTGGATAATGAGTCTTGATTTAGAAGAGTCCATATTGAAAACATCATAGACTCAGCTTATTTATATAATATTCTGGTAAAACTGCTAAAAATAATTTATTATGTACTTCGTTATTTTAGGATGTAATAGCAGGTATTGTCGTGGTAGAGAACAGCAATGATGTGCGACATGAAGGGCTCACATTAGCAATGGAAGGTGCAGTGAACTTGCAATTAAGTACCAAAAATGTTGGTATATTTGAGGCATTTTCCAATAGCATAAAGGTAAATAAATGGCTGTTTCAATGCTATGTCTATTTACTAAGTCTTTATTAACTGACATCTTTATGATGAAATTTATTGTTGAATTTGTTTTGGATTAACAATAAATCTTGTTTATGTGTGGTCTCGGTATTGTATATGCATTTCGGTGAGTGTGCGCAGGAATTACACGCTTTAATTCCTCACTCTCCTTTTCACCATCAGACAACCAGGCGGTCGGCGGGTCCTCACCTCTTTGTCGTCGATATTCCACGCATTAGAACCAAATGGTTTTCTTCGTCTTCTGTAATGCGTACAGCAAAGGAGTGAAATAATTTGTCGGTGTCTATCTTTCCGTCCAAATACAATCTGGGCGTCTTCAAAGCAAGAGTGAATAGGCTTTTGTTACGCTAAGACAGTGCGATTTACCATCTAAGGCTGCATCACCACTTACCACCAGGTGGGATTGTAGTCAAGCACTAACTTATAATTAAGTTAAAAATAATGTGCAACATGTACAAGAAGAAATGAAAATTGCCCATTCTTCTTCTTATTAATTAAAAAAGCATTTGAAAGGGACGAAGAGAGAACGAAGTGTGAAATATGGGTAAATCAGGAATGTCTAGAACAGGTAAATGAAATTGTATACTTGGGGAGTGCTTTTAGCCGGGATGGAAGATGTGATTTAGATGTGGACAGGCGTGTCGCTGCCGGGAACAAAGTCAATGGTGCCCTGACTGCGTTAGTCAAAAGGCAAGGCGTAGCGAAGAGTGCACGCCTTGCAATACATAACGCAGTGTTGGTACCGACTTTGTTATATGGCAGCGAAACCTGGGTATGCCAGAAGAAGCATAAAAGTAAGTTGAATGCAGTGGAGATGCGATCTCTTCGTAAAATGTGCGGCGTTACCATGGCCGACCGAAAGCGAAACGAAGAGATTCGCAATATGGCAGGTTTGAAAGATGACCTTATCACAAAAATTGATAAAGGCGTGCTTCGGTGGTTTGGGCACGTTGAGCGAATGAGTAAAGACCGAATGGTGAAGAAAATATATAGCGCGAAAATTAATATTAAAAGGTTCGAAGACCATGTGAGCAAATTGCTCGAAGAGGGTAGGGTCAAAAGTACTCGGATACCTAGACGTGCATGCATGAAGAAGATAATGAATCTGAAAGAAGCGAAAGAGGTTTGTAAGGATCGTGACACTTGGCGATCTGTTCTCTCTGGCTACCCCGTCAGGGATTGTGCGTGAAGATAAGTATGTTCTGCTGTTACAAGTATTGATGGAATTTCGGATCCAATTATACACTGTAATTTAGATAAATATGTGTATTATGCTA